CATTGGAATAAAAATTCCTGCTGGAATAAAATGATTATCAGTATTTGATGAAAAACAGTAAGAGGGAGAGCCAACTTTATTTTACAGGATAAGATGTTCACCGCACCCAATTTTTTAATGCAATCACTGAGGCAACTCTCATATGAAAAATGAAATGAGAGTTTTATGTCATCTGCATAATAGCAACAGTGCTGATGTTGTCTGATGATGGTTCTTCCATGGTTATAACTAGATGTGGGAGGCATAGCCTAAGCTGTCAACAGGAGTTTCCCAATACCACCAACTGGAAACCAGCAAATGGAACAATTCGAAAATGGGACTTATATATTAATTCATCCATTCATTTTATTTACAGCCCACTTAATAATGAAACTTCTTTTGTATTTATTCTCCCTAATTTCCTAATCTTATATCTGCCAGGTGGTCCAGAAGGATAGTATGATCTTGAGAGCTCCAGCAGAAACAAGATTGCCCACTTTCTAGCAAAAAGACCAAAGATGTGTCAATCCCAAATCTAGATTTGAAGTCAGATTGATACAACAGATCAGAGGCAACTGAATTCCTCAAGATCCTATGCATCATATAATTTCCAAAAAGTTGGGGTATGATTACTCACTAGTTTGAGACCCACACAACTGTAGTGTAGGTCCTCAAGCAGGCTTAATCTGATTAATAAAAAAGAGGCAGCAACAGAGAAACCTATAAAAAAACTGAGAATATCCTCATCCTGTTGATGAGTAGCAGGGCTCTGCCCCCTTTGAATAATAGTTTCACCCATTTTATATTTGTGCCCCAAATAATATGTTGTCAGCTATTAGCCCAGATACTTCATTTGTGATTACTTGTTTAAAAAATTACCAACTAATGACAGATTTCAGCTTGGTCAATGTTATTCAACATGCTGGCTCCTGACTCCTAAATTTGGGCTCCATGCTTCCACCATATAAGTAGGAACACTTCTGACTGGGTAAATAGAAAAATCACCCATGGTTGTAAGAGCAATGAGACTGCAATAAAAGGCAAGTATTCATAGAGGCAAGTATTGCAATAGAAGGCAAATACAATTATGCCTCAAACAGAGGAAGCTTCAGATTCTTTAGAAATGAGAGAAGCAATGAACAAATGAGTATTCTGTGCAGATAACTGGGATCATGTTTCTTAACTGAAATGTACTGCATATTTTTAATAAAGAAGCTTAGACTAAAAAAGTAAAGCAAACACAAGACAAACACACTAC